CAGTTTTTTCTTGAAATAGGATTACAACCCGAAAAAATTAGGGAAAGTTAGTGCGTTAGTTTGAGAAAATTGATGTTGTTAATAAGGTTGTTTTTTGGAGAAAATTGATGATGTTAATTTGATGGGTTGGGTCTGTCAATTTGGTTAATCTATGATTCTTAATTTGATGAGAGAGTTGTTAATTTTTGTGTCTGTTAATTTGATAAAATTGAGGTGGTTAATTTGATGGGTTAGGTTTGGGTTTGAATTAGTTACAAAGTTTGAGTTTGGGTTTAATGATAGTTTGATTTGGATTGTTGTCATTGCAATAAAGCTTACTTTGACTTACTTTCATTTGGAGGTTGGGTTCAACAAGAATTAGTAAAGCTTATTGTGTCGCAATCTCCTGAGTCCTCCTTGGTGAAGGGTCTGCCTCCTCTACAGTTGACAACTAACCGTATGACATACAGTTTAATAAAACGAGGTTGTTTTGCATCTTTTATTTGTTTGTAAACTAATCCATACAAACGACACCGTTTAACTCATTCCATATCAAAACCAAATGCAAGGCTTCTTCTTCATCGACTGTAGCTTCCACCAAGTGAATTTCTCAGCTTTTTCTCCCGCTTCTTCTTTGTTGTCAATTTCTCCAAGTGAACTGGTACAAAATATATAGGAGCCAAATTTGGTAGAAAGAGAGAGTGTATGATGTTCATCTCATGTATTGGTAGATTTTGAGGTCTATTTCCATGTTTGGTTCATGGTGGCCGTTGGATCTGCTACTTGTCGATCGAGTTGATTTTATTGGGATTTAGATGGATTTGCCCATAAATTTCTTCAAATTTACTCTCTGTATCATGGTCTTCTCACTGATTTTCACCTCAAATTTGTAGATTATACTGAGAAATTCAACTTTGAGAAATAATCATACTCTCGCTCTACCGAGTCCGGCTCCTATACCGTATTACGTGGAGTATTTTGTACCGCTTCACTTGGATAAATTGATGACGAATAAAAAGTGGTAGAAGAAGCTGAGAAATCCACTTGGTGGAAGCCAATCGACGAAGAAGAAGCCTTGCATTTGGTTTTGATATGAAAGGAGTTAAACGGTGCCATTTGTATGAACTGATTTACAAAAAAATAAAAGATGCAAAACGGCTTCGTTTTATTAAACTACATGTCATACAGTTAGTTGTCAACTGTACTAGAGCCAGACCCCCTTGGTGAACTTGATCCCACTGTTTACAACACACAGGTTCGTCATTTGACTCATTTTTTCATCTACTTTGACTTTTTTGTTTTCTTAGTTATCGTTGACTTAGCGTTGGATAAAATAACATGATTATGGATTTTTTGGTATATAGTCAACGTGGATGTTGTTTCTCTATTTTTTGAATCAGTTTTTTTTACTTGTCATTCACAAATTTGGAGCCTAAAGCGGCAAATAAAATGAGTTTTTTTTTATTTTTAATATTAATAATTTTTTATTTAAAATTTATTCTTTTTTTTTTACATTAAGAGTACTATTATTGACCTTTTGGAATTTTTTTAACCTTTAGCTTTTGCTTTTTTTTTAAAAAAAAGTTATTTTTGTATATTTTTAATATTACTAGTAATGCACAACGTGCATTGCACTTAAATAAATAAAAATAATATTATTTTTATAAAAAATATAAATTATATATATAATAAAATTAAATAATAAATTAGGTGTCAAATAATTAATTTATATTTTAATTATTACTAAATTTAATTATTAATTTATTCTATAAATTTTTAAGCAACTAATGTCATTTATTTAGGTATCTGATAGACCATTTTAAATATTTGCAAATAATAATTTTTATTTTGTTAAATAGATTGATTAAATCACTCTTATAATATTATTATTTTATTATATACCAAAAAATAAAATATAACATATATTTGACTATAGATCACATAAATATAGATACTGTATATAACTGTATTACTAATAAGTGAGTTCAAAAAAATTTAGAAGTCATTATAAAAGTTCAAAACAAATTGAAAATTTAATATATGTAAAAAAATAAAAATATATAGGAGGATCTAATTGACCTTATTATAATTATTAGTGATAAAATAGAAAATCAAATTTTTTTTACAAATGTTAACATTTATAAGTAGTATAAATAGATATAAATATAGATATACATAGATATGAGTTGGGTTCACGAGCTCAAATTACTTAAATTTATTTTTATTTGAGTTTAAATTTTTATAAAATATTTTTGGAGATCTAAAATCTTATGGATCTAAACTTTTTTGATTTGGATAAACTATTCAACTAGAAAATTTTGAGGCTTTCTTTGAGCATGAGACCTAAAGTCCAGCCTTTGTTGACCTTGTGGTAGGGTCGGCCCCGGCTATTAATGCCTTAAATCATTTTTTAATTGTCGATGAAACGCACTAGATTAAAAAATTTTAATCTCATCAAAAAATTTTATTTTTTATTTGTTTTCCAAATTTTTTGTATGCAACCCTAATATCTTCCCCACATATGTCGTGTACCTTGTCTCCCACTGTCTAATTTTTCTCTCCTCCCCTCATATCTTCCTCCGCCCCCCGGTCGACTCTCTCTCTGTCTCTCCTCAACTTCTTTGCCCTCCTCTCTCGCGTCTGTCGAAGCTAGGCTAGTTACCGGTGACGTTAGTAACCGCCGATACCGTCGACGATAACGATGCCCTATTCTCCAGGTATCTCTCTATCTTTCTCACATGTGTCTTCTCTCTTTTTCTCTTCTCCCTTTGGCAATCTTCCCCCTTTTCTCTCTAGCTTCCCTCCTCCTCGTCTCTCTTTGTCCAGCAATGCCATGGACTAACCCACCTCTGACGACACCACAATCACAATCGAGGACACACCCACCATCCAGGTATCCCATTCTGACTCCCCTTCCCCTCGCGCCCGGCCTCTTTCAGTGTTCCTCTCTACGGACAGAGCACGCACAAAATGCAGCACACACACAAACTCACACTTACAACACACTGAATAGCAAGGTGGGTTGATTTGAACGGTCAAATGAAAATGTAACTTACACGTTTGGACTTAATTTTTTGCAGCCTTCTTTGTTTGGATGCCATATTTATATTTGGTAAATTTCATTTGAAATTGTTTTCTGTCACATTTTTTGTCACAATTTCGATCACTCTTTTTTGTTGTATCACTACTACTTGTCACTGTTTTTTTCTTGTGTCACTTCTATTTGTTACCATATCTATGTCACTATTTATTTATCATTGTCATTTTTGTATATATATAAGAGAGAAAAAAAATCATATTTTGAAAAAACTTTACAATTAAGGAGATTTAAAATTTGAATTTGAACACGTGATATAGAGAGAAAAATAATCTTAATTGGGAAAAAAATTACATTTAAGGAGTTTTGAATTTGAACATGAATATATGTACAAATAATATATATATATATATATATATATATATATATATATATATATATAGAGAGAGAGAGAGAGAGAGAGAGAGAGAGAGATAGTCCTTATCTTAGAAAGAGTCTAAAATTAAAGAATTTTTATTTTGTGTTAGTTTTATTTTGGTCACATATGTGTGTATATATATATATATATAATATAAATTTTAAATTCTTTAATTTAAAATCTTTCACAAATTAGGATTATTTCCTTCTAAAACTCTTAAATTTTACGATTTTCTCATATTAGAATTCTTTTTCTCTCTTATATACACACACACACACATTATTGTAGAAAGTGTACCAACTTTCAAAAAATTATGCATAAAATGCCCAAATTGTTGAACCAACCCAGTCCAACAACTGTTTGTAGGGTTTTCGGGTTTACCCTCTGAATCGGGTCAGCTTTAACTACACTGCTTTAACCCCTGCCAGCCTCTCTCTTCTCTTTTGTCATTTTTCTTTTTTCTCTTCTCATCCATCATCACGTCGAGCAGAGCCCATTCTTATCGATTATTAGAAATCCCAATTATCGTTTTGTGCATCAACGGTTTTAGTTTCAATGTTGAAAAAGATTTGGAATCCCAAAATAGCACGAATTGCAATCTCAATTGAACATCTGACTTAAGTAACTTGAGTTAAAAAAAAAATTTATATACGAGCAATACTTGTGGTCTGTTGGGTAAGGTGGATGGAAAAATGGAAAGACAGAAAGTGGGAGTGATACACTTTTAATCTTTCAAGGGAAGAATATAACCTTCCTTTTTTGTGTTTGGTAAGAGGGATGAAAAGTAAGAAGAATTGATTTTTTTTTGTGTTTGGTAAGATTGAAAAAGTATTTTTTTGATTTTAAATTTTTAAATTTTTTTGTAAAAAATATAAATAAATATTTTACCATTATATCTGTGTATTAAATTAATGTATACATATGTAATTGATAAATATAATATATGTATATATCAAAATATATATATACAAACAACATACATTTTAGCGCATATAATTAATTTTTCATCCACTTTTCTCTCAATTTTGAAGGGATTGATTTTGGTGTACAACCATTTTTTCATCCTTCTTGTTTTCCTTCCTTACTAAACATGATGTTTTATCTATTTCTCCAACTTCTCATCTTTCTAATTTTCTATTGCTCCATTTTTTCTATCATACCAAATGAAGCATTGGGGTGAAGAAGAATTGGATTGAAGGTTGGGTTCGAGTTGAATTTGTGTTGATAATTTTGTGAATGGCTTAGGCCTTAGTTGACCTAGCCAATCCAAATTGGACCCCCTCTCACTAGCGGCTACACTGATCTATCACGCATCAAAACCCTAGCAGCTCTTGTGCCAGTTCCTTCCCACCTCTGATGCTTTTCTTTGCCTGTCGAAGCCAACACCATTTACCCATGGAAGTTTTCTCTTTCTCTCACCGTGTTGGGGGTTTTCTTGCTTGATTTCAGAATGAGATTGAACAAATGCGAATATTTTCTTTCACACCTTTTCGATTACTTTGTGGTTCTTGAGAAATTGACCATTTATTTTGCTAAAACAGAAAGTGGTAAATTAACCAGGAACAAATGGAGTCGTCTGCGGGCATGAAGTGTGGACCAGATATGTGGAGGTAAAATAGTGTTCACTTGCCTGAGTACTTTATTAGCATTATTGATCAACGGATACAACAAAGTGTACGATGAAGTGATTAGTGTGTTGGTCAAATTTTTTTAACATACATTGGTAGTTAGAAGAACAACCACTCTAATTACATGTTGGGTTGATCATGATATTTTGGATTTATGTCTTTTTGGATATTTGAGCTGACCGTTCGTGTCAGTTTTTTCATGGAACCCAGTTAAGTTGATTCGGTGTTTTGGAAATATGAATCATCCTATGCAGACTCTTAATTTTCTTTTCTTTGTTTCTTCTTGTTCAATTTGAAAATTCATTTCTCATGGTCACCGGGTTACGTGAACCTTCTTTTCTCTATGTTTGAAATTGATAGGTTGCATGGTGATGATAGCAATGCAATCATCTTGCTGGAAAAGAGAAAGAATAAAAAGAAAGAAAAGAATCAGGTATATTTGGCAAACTAGTTTGTACTTTACCTCTAGTTTTGTCAAGTCACATGTGGATAAGGAGTGGTTAATTCTTCTTTTGAAGGTGGCTAAAAAGTTTAAGACGAATAAAAAACCTGAACTGAGCAATTCCCAGAAAAGAAAGCTGAAGAAGCTTGAGGTTTGCACATGTCTGTACTTTCTAGTCTGTTACTATTTATTCTTTGTTAATTAAATTTGGATTTCTTGCTTCGTTATATGTAGGAGGAGAAGCAGAAAGCACTTCTGTTATCAAAAAGCATCGAGACTTTGGAGTATGATTGCTTTTTGGTCTTTCTTTTACGGTTTATGTTTTTTCATATATATAATTTTCTCACTAAGGCCACAAAATGGTTAATCAATATTTGGGTGATTTACTTTTTCAGGATGTATAAGATTCCAGAGGGTGCATATTCACTTATGAGGTCTTCACGAAATTTGGGTCAAGTTCGTGCCATTGATGTTATGCTACTCTATACCATTGAAAAGATAAACTGTTGGATTTTAGCTTATTAAGTGGCCTATCTAATTGTAGGTTGAAACTGTCCGTGAAAAGCGTAGGAGGGCAGTGCATTTTTCTAAGGTGGGTTTAGAAGTGCCACATAGTTATCGTCTCAAGAGAAGGGCTGTAGACACTTCTGAAGGTGAATCCGATTCTGATAAAATCCAGTCAAGGCACGGGTTCAATGGAAATGGCTCTTTGCAACTAGTGATAGCAGAAAGAGAAGCCCTAAGTGACACTTCTACTGATTTGGGTCCTTCTCGAGGACTAGTTTCCCATGAAATTGGTATCGTTGGTGGATTAGATGCCCCCATGCAAGTTCAGCAAATTATTAATGAGAGTAATGACATGCCCATGCTTGAAGATCCGCAAAAGACTTGGCTCACAGATGTTAATAATCACAGAAAGATGATTATGTCACTGGTATGCTTCATTATCTGATTGTTGAAAGATCGTTACACAATCAAAGATTTGGTAGCATGCATGAAGTCATGATGTTTATTGTATGCCATGGGTGCTGTGTGTTATACTTGTATGCTATCTGTATCTAAATAGCTATTAATTAGGACTGGGGGCTTAATATGGTACAGGATCTGGTAGATGAGAGTCCAAAAGTTAACATCAGTTGTACAAGCAACCTTGCTAATTATCCTCCACGGGAAGCTCTAACTGCCCCAACAATAGTGCATGCATCAAGACCAAAGGAGATTGAGAAGAAGAGGAGGGATCTTCCAATAGTCATGATGGAGCAGGAGATAATGGAAGCTATAAAGGAGAATAGTAGTCTTATTATATGTGGAGAGACTGGTTGTGGAAAGACCACTCAAGTTCCCCAGGTATGCTAGTTTAAATTTGTTATAATCTGTTCACTGCATTCAAGGGTTTTTTTTGATAGTGGTCTTAGCTCTTGTTTCTGGTTGGCACCTTTCAGTTCCTTTATGAAGCTGGCTTTGGTTCAAACCAGTGTAGTGTTAGAAGTGGTATTATTGGTGTTACCCAACCACGGCGTGTTGCAGTCCTTGCAACTGCCAAGAGAGTGGCATTTGAGCTTGGTCTTCGTTTGGGTAAGCAGGTTGGCTTTCAAGTTAGGCATGACAAAAGGGCTGGAGACAGTTGCTCCATCAAGTTTATGACTGATGGAATTTTGCTTCGAGAAGTACAGGTTTTGCTTTCCCTTCCTGTTGTTCTTCCTTATGCATGATAAGGAGGCTTTGCAGAAAATAATCTGTTTAATTGATAACTCTTTTCTCTAAAATTCTTTGTAAAATGGTAATGTTTATAATTTTAAATGCTTCTCAATGCCATATGAGATTTTTTGGGAGAGTTGTTTATTTTCATTAACTATCTATGTAATTTATCACCAGCAATTTGTAGAGTGAAGGACCCACTTTTGGTGGGTTGCCCCCCAAGAGGCCTTCAATAATCTGTTTTGTTGATTATTCTTAATTATAAAATACTTTGTAAAATGGTGATTTTTATCATTTGATGTTATTTGTCATATTCAAGTTATTTTGAATCTTTGATCAAGTTTTATTGTTTGGAACACATCAATTAGAGTACTGTAGTTTTAATGCCTTTAGACTCTTTACTATCATCTTGAATTTATCACCAGCATTATGTGGTGTGAAGGACCCAGTTTTGGTGGGTTGCCCCTCAAGAGGCCTTTAACATTGTCAGGATTAATGGGAAAGATGACTCATGACATTGAAGATCTTACTGAGGTTGATTGATGTTTGAATAGCAAAATAATATTTTGAAATATTAGTATTTTTGAGGAATAGTGAAGATGTTGTATGAAGTGCAAAAAGAACTGTTAATTTACTCTTTAAAGTAGATGTTGGAACCATGCTTATGTATAACATTCATGAGTACTGTATTAGTGGTTTCTTCTTCAATGTTTTGAGGCAAGTGTCAAGGCTTTCCTAAGTAGATCTGGGACACTTATTATTTGGCAGTATTCTTGGTGTGTTTCCCATGTCAATTGATATGGTATTTTTAGGTGTCATCAATAAATTTGAATAATTAACTTTTGTTCTTTAACTTTTTGGGATCGTCATGTCTTTCCCATGTCGATTGGTATGGTATTTTTAGGTCTCAACAATAAATTTGTGTAGTTAACTTTTTTTCTTAATTTTTGGGTTTTTTTTTCGTTGGGATCTTGATCTCTTTCCCATGTCGATTTGTACAGGATTTTTAGCTCTCAACAATAAATTGATAAAATTAACTTCTTTCTTTGTTTTTTTTTGGTGGGGGGTTGGGGGGTGGTGGGAAGGAGGGTGCTGTGTTTTGACATTTAGATGGTCATAAACTGGAGGTCATGAGAGAGCATCTCAGGTGGCTGCTTCTTTTATATGGGATTCGTGTTCCCTCACCCTTAATAGAAAATTTTTGGTATGGCAGTTTGCTATTATGCCACAAGCCACTGGATTTCAAGTAAACTTCGTTGATAAAAGTGCAATTATACAGGATTATTTGACATCATTCAGTACTAGTATGGCTTGGTACTATTTTTTCTAGTTGCAGCGCTTCAAGTTTGACTCTGGAGAGTCTCTGAGCAACATTATGAAGTTTTGTTTTTAAAAACTACATTATGAAGTTGAAGGATTTTAGAAAGTGTTAAACATTGTTGACAAGGAGTGGTAGGCATGCTTTTTAAAGTAAAGATTTTAAGCAATGGCTTGGTTCCTTCTGAGGTAGTTTTCTTTGTGAAAATATCATATCATTTCATCCCTGGGCAGTTTGTGATATGCAAGTTGAAAACTCAGATTGACGATCCGTTTTAGATGGATTTCTTTTTTTCTCCTCTGTATCATGGTTTTCTGTAATATTTGGCATCCTATAGATCTTGCATGTGGGTCTTCGTAGTTTGTTTGGGAATTGACACTTTGAACGCTTGGGTGATCAAAGATATGCATCCTAGAAAGGTTTCTTTTTCATTGTTATGTCCTCCATCTACAAGGGAAAGAATGTTTGATAGGTCAGAAGGCCTTGTAGGCATCCCAAATAACATTTTACTTGTTGTAAATTTTGTTATTCAGTAATCTCCTAGTTGGCTATAGAGTTGAATTTTGACAGAATGGGATATTGTGCCCTTTAAAACAGGGGAACTTTTTTTGGGGTTTGGAGTGTGTGGGTTGTGGTGGTGGTGGTTTTTTTTTTTGGTTTTGGGGGGGGGGGGGGGGGGGGATGCATGCAGGGTGCAGTTGTAGATGTTATTTTCTGCTTTTCTATATATCCTTTTCCAATTAATGAAAGTTTACCAAAAATTTTGGCTTCTTTTGAATTAGAAATATGCGTACTTTGAGTCTTTGACAATGGAATTCTATTAACCAATAGTAGTATAATTGGGGAAAAAAAGCTCACATGAGATTATCATTTATCAATCTGCACGAGGAAATGATTCCACCAAAGACTTAACCAGTAAAGGTACTGAAAAATAATTTTAGTCAATGTTATTATTTTCTTGTGCTCATGTTTATTGTTTAAATTGTTATTTTTTTCAAGAATGTCTTTGGCTATGCCATTTTTTGATGCTAGAATTCTTTTGCTGAATAGGGCTATTTCTATACTCTTCTTGAAACTATTTGCATCTTTTTAACTTTTCTGCTTGTTGCTTGCTCCACCTTATATATATCTTTTTAGTGCAGAGTGATTTTTTATTGAGGCGTTACTCGGTCATAATCTTAGATGAGGCCCATGAGAGGAGCCTGAACACAGACATACTTATTGGAATGCTTTCTCGTATTATAGTAGCGCGCCAGGTAAAGGCTAAAAAAACTTGAATTTTATCTCTCTCCTCAGTACTTGCTTTAATTTTTTCCATGTCAAGCTTTTAAAATGGCTTGGGATTCTGACTGATTCATCATACTTTTCTCCCCTGTTATCCTTTTCTTTTCTTCTATTTTTCCAACTTATTTCTTCCATTAGAGTGTATTACCTTTACTTGATGGCAGGGAGAATATGAAAAGCAGCAAAGAAAGGTACTTTCAGGAGAAAGAATATTGCCTGAAACTATGATCTATCCATTGAAACTTGTGCTGATGAGTGCCACCTTGCGGGTTGAGGACTTTGTGTCTGGGAGAAAAATATTTCATAATCCACCACCTGTAATAGAAGTGCCAACCCGACAATATCCGGTGACTATACACTTTTCACGGAGGACAGATATGGTGGATTATATTGGCCAAGCCTACAAAAAGGTTTTGTCAATTCACAAGAGGCTGCCTCCTGGAGGAATACTTGTTTTCGTTACTGGTCAGAGGGAAGTAGAATATTTGTGCCGGAAGCTGCGTAATGCTTCTAGGGAGATAGCTGAAAATGGTTCTAAAACAAATAATGAGGTACCTGAGGTATCCGAGGGGAACCCGACTGACGAATATGTTATAAAGGAGATTAATGAAGCATTTGATGTTCCAGAGCATTCAAGCCACCAGCCAACTGACCGGTTTAGTTCTTACGATGGAGATTATGGTGATTTGTCTCAGGATGAGTCAGAATTGTCTTATGATTCCGCAGAAGATAGTGATCTGGATGTTGTTGGCGATGATGAGGATGCATTGAACCAGAAAACTCCGGACTTGAATGGTAATCTTGCAGATGTCTTGGGAGAGGATGGAACCCTTGCTTCACTGAAGGCTGCATTTGAATCTTTGGCTGGAAAATGTACTCCACACTCTGATTCTGAGGGGGAACAAGTTATTCCTGTTGTTCCATCAGGAGACTCAAACCAATCAAGTTCCAGCTTGGGGCAAAGATTGGGGGAAACAAATGGTCCCTGTGCTGGTGCAATGTGCGTTTTGCCCCTTTATGCAATGCTTCCTGCGTCAGCACAGCTTCGTGTATTTGAAGAGGTTAATGAAAGAGAGCGGCTAGTTGTCATTGCCACCAATGTAGCTGAAACCTCTTTAACCATTCCAGGTATAAAGTATGTGGTTGACACTGGAAGAGAAAAAGTCAAGAACTATAATTCTTCCAATGGCGTTGAGTCATATGAAGTACAGTGGATAAGTAAGGCATCTGCTGCTCAGCGTGCAGGAAGAGCTGGAAGAACAGGACCTGGCCACTGTTATCGCCTCTATTCTTCGGCGGTCTTTAACAACATATTTCCTGAATTCTCAAATGCTGAAATTTCAAAAGTACCTGTTGATGGTGTTGTCCTTCTCATGAAATCCATGAATATAGATAAGGTAAGTTCCATAGTTTGTGGCTTGACTTTTCTGCTCTAGATATGTTTTTTGGCTTACCATTTCAGAGGGTTTCCTGTACCAGCCATCCCCAGGATCTTCACAGGTCAACTGGGGCCAACAAGGTGTCAGGATTTTTTGTGGCAAACCAACCAAACCCGCCCACCCATACAAGAGGAGACATCTCAATTTTTTTGTTGTTACCTCTAGATTATCATGTTTTTATGACTGAATAAGATATTTATAACTCCTATGACTGGCATGGCCTGCTTGCTCGAACATTTTGAACTTGATATTTTATGATATGAGCATCATGCAAAATCGTGCCAATGTGGTCTATGGAGCGTAGGGTTCATATGGTTTCATGGGATGTAGTGCCATTTTATTTGTTTGCTTGTTTTTTCTGTAATAGAGTTGCTGTTTGAGATGTTAATGTTCTGGATCAATTAGCTTTTAGGTATTTTGGTACCTTTATAGCTCAATGTCACTCAAATGTTCACAAAGCCTCGTTCCTCCAATATGTTTCCTGTTCTAGTTTGTGGTTTCTTTTTTTAGAATTTTGTGGCCCTACATATTCAAAATTACATCTTATAAAGTTTACATATATTCCAGGTTGCAAATTTCCCATTTCCAACCCCTCCTGAGGCCACTGCCTTGGTTGAAGCAGAGTGCTGCTTAAAGGTTCTTGAAGCAATTGATAGCAAAGGAAGGCTGACACAACTAGGAAAGGCCATGGCACAGTATCCTATGAGTCCTCGCCATTCGCGGATGCTCCTTACAGTCATTCAAATCATGAGAAAAGTAACACGTTATGCAAGGGCAAATCATGTTCTGGGATACGCACTTGCAGCAGCTGCAGCTTTGAGCTTGTCAAATCCTTTCATTATGCAGTTTGGAGGAAGCCACACTGATGAAGATGGCTTGAAGCAGGATGAGAAATCGGGCACTGCTGATAGCTCCAAAATTTTAGACAAGGAAGAAAAATTGAGGAAAAAGAAACTGAAAGAGACCGCTAAAATATCGCGTGCAAAATTTTTGAATCCTAGGTGTGATGCATTGACCATAGCTTATGCTTTGCAATGTTTCGAGCTGTCTGAAAGCCCAGCAGAATTCTGCAATGATAATGCATTACACCTCAAAACTATGGAGGAAATGTCTAAGCTGAGAAAGCAGCTGCTTAGACTAGTGTTTTACCAAAATGTTGGTGATTTGCAGCAATTCTTGTGGACTCATGGGACCTTGGAGGATGTAGAATGTGCTTGGAGGGTTTCCTCTGATAAGCATCCTCTGTTTTCAGAAGAGGAGGAGATCTTGCGCCAAGCTATTTGTGCTGGCTGGGCTGATAGGGTTGCCAAACGCATTAGAGGAGTTTCAGGGTTGTCAGAAGGAGATAGAAAAGTTAATGCAGTTCGTTACCAAGCTTGCATAGTAAGAGAAACAGTGTTCCTTCATCGTTGGTCATCTGTTTCTAAAGCTGCTCCTGAATTTTTGGTGTACAGTGAACTGCTACATACAAAACGACCATATGTTCATGGAGCAACGAGTGTGGAACCAAATTGGCTGGTTAAGTATGCTGAGTCTTTGTGCAGTTTCTCTGCACCCCTTGCAGATCCGAACCCTTATTACGATCATCTATCAGATCAAGTTTTCCATTGGGTAATTCCAACTTTTGGCCCTCATCTATGGCAGCTCCCGCACCATAGTTTGCCCATAAAAGATGCTGTGCATCAGATGACTGTATTTGCTTATTCTTTGCTTCACGGTTCTGTTTTGCCATGCCTGAAATCTGTCAGGAAGTTTATGGCAGCTTCACCTGCTAGCATTTTTAGGCCAGAAGCATCAGGTCATAAAAGAGTTGGAAATCTTCTAAACAAATTAAAGAACAGGTTGAGAACTATTGACAGCTGTGCCAAGTTGAGAGAGGCGTGGAATGAGAATCCTAGAGAATTGCATTCTGAAATTCTGGACTGGTTCCAAGAAGGATTTCATGACCAATTTGAAGAGCTCTGGGCAGAAATGCACCGTGAGGTTCTTCTAGATCCCCAAGAACGCTTCTGCAAAAGGGTCAAGAGAGAGAAAAGGAAGATATTACAGTTACGAAACTGAATTTGGATCACCTGTATGGCCAAACGTTGTGCCTGGTGGTGTACATCTTTGAATGACTCTTTAACACATTTTATAAAAAGAAGCAAGCTCGGTTAATTAGAGGATCCATGGACAAGAGTTTGATGCCAGCAAGGTAATCTTTCAAACCTTATTTCTGTCTTCTTTGCTGTATGTGCAGTATTGTGACAGTAGTTTTTTAAGGCGGAATCATATAACATGCGCTTTCTTGTTTGTTCAATGAACAGTGAGTTTTCAGAATGTCGCGTGGCCCATCTGTTCTATAGAAGAATGGCTAGAAATTGACTGGATACTGAGATGGAGGCAATTCTGATACGGAGCTATCCCAACGAAGGAAAGATAAATAATTGAAACAGCTCAATTTTATGGAGTCCTAAAGTATCAATAATTCCTAAAGATGAATAATTGAAAATGTGTTTTAATGTTATACAATATCAATGATTCATTATATCCAAATGCTCTGAGGTAAATTGGAATCTTTTTTAAGTTGGAAGCACTTCCAAACCCTTTCCTCTGAAAGGGAATATTTTCATAAATTCATGATCTGTTCTGATTTTATTTTTCATCTTTGTTTTAAGTCTATCTTTTCTCGTTTGCAATTCAGAAAAACTGAAATTATCTTTTTGAATGCACAACAATGCTGCCAAACAGGGCATGAATGTTTTCATGGGTCTGTATTAACAACATCATGACGGTGCAGGTGCACAATTCCATCGAGGTCAGACTATATACTTCTTGGAATGAAAATTGTGAATGTAAATAATTTTCTTACATTGTCACTTCTTCGACTACATGGATATGGAGCTCAAAATTTTGCGTTGAATTTATGTAGACTCTTAAAATCTTATTACACGCTTGTGGAGTAGTGTGTAAGGGGAGACCGTCCCTATGTTTTAAGAAAATAAAACAAAAAATTCTCCAACAACCATGCAATGAACTATGGAGTTGATATTGCGATTGCATTTAGGGTAAATGTCATGGATGCCCCCAAACTATGCCGCGGTTGTTGAATGTCACATCAACTTTCAATTATCGTAAAATAGTTTTTAATCTATGTAAATCGTTTCAATTTATCCATGCAATCCATTTCACTCGCTCAAACAAACAGAAGAAGATTACGGGAGATACAAGTGAGCGTTGGTTGGGAGCAAAATGTATTAAGTTGTACATGTACAGAATTTGAGCAATTTTTGATCCTGGTTGTGTATTGAGCTGGCAGATCTATTATTGGTACTTGTGCGTAACATGATCAGCGAAATTTTCATTCTGGTAAAAATTTCATTTTCGTGTTTTCTCATAGCCTGGGAAAGAATATTGTGTTTCACACGTTGTTTTCCTTTTTTCGGCCCCTTTATGCTACTGTTGGCACATGTGCCATGCACACATTGTTGTTCCCCTTTTTTCGGCCGATTTATGCTGCTGTTGGCACATATGCCATGCAAGTTTTTTCCTCCCAGGGCTCTGTACCCTTGGTCCAAAGTATCTCCGATACCAATACTGTATGGTACCTTCCCATCAGTTCCATATTTCATATAAATTGAGCGCATTTTGCGACTCTGCCAAGTCATTTTGTAACACCGCCATATGACTTAAATCTTATTTGATGTTAAACTTTTTTTTTAATGTAACATTTCTTTGTCAACTATCGTACCGCAATGTCATGTTGCAATCGATGCATGTTTGGACAATGTAAAAAAACCGGTGGTTGAGAAGCCCAAAGCATTTATCTTCATTTGAAGGTAAGGTGGCCACAAGTACAGGAAGATTCTATCTAACAAAATAATGCACAGCCCTTAAAAACAATGTCATGGAACAAGACAAAGCCACAACTTCACGTAATGCAATAACGACAACATTCATGTACAACAATGAAGAACATCCACTGAATAGGTCGGCAGGATGACCATAACAAATCGTGAAAACTAACTAGCAGTTGGCAATGTACAAGTGCTACAAGATGGCACCGTCACGATATCTAATGACAACCATCTATCATCATGTACACAGACCCCTTCCCTTTGAGAAATGGACCATAGGGTTTAGACTTCTGCAGGAAACCAAACTCATGCAGCAGCAAAACCATGGAAGTTTTAGAGAAAGAAACCAACGTACGACAAATGTAGTTGCAGAATGGAGAATGCAACTGTCAAGGCTCAAACTTATGAGATCTGCAGATTGATAAACAATAACATAAGCAACTGCTGCTGTATAAGCCCAGCAAACTAGTACATATAGAAATTTAGCATAGTAAATGAGAAAAAAAAGACATTTAAATGCATTTGCCTGTTCAGTTGGGGAAAAACCCAGCTCTGTAAGAGTCATTTGATTGTTCAGTTGACGATGCATTGTCAGGGAAAAAACCTGGTTTCATAATAGTCTTTCCGCAATATATACCACATTATTTACCAAAACAAAAGTATATGCACCAGATTTTTTTCCCTTTCACAGAAAATTGTAGTCTTGAATACTTATATCTCATGGTAGAAAGATAAAAATATTCAGGATCTTGGTTGTTCTCTTTGCAGTGAAACTTGGATCGGTGCTCCCATATAGAAAGGTAGACAACTAACACAGCACGGGCGTTACATTACATTATCTATTTTCAACAATATACAACAAAAAGACCAAGTATTGGGAGGTAAATCATAGGTGTTCAGGTTGAATTTATGACCCAAATATGAGAGAAGAAAATGACATAATGATCAAAGTACCGAAATGACCCAACATCATCATATAAGATGCCATGCAATATTTTACTTTTCATATAATGCTGTTGGTTCTTTACATCTGGCTCATCTATGCAACATTCATTTATTACTCCTACTTTCCAGCTTGTAGGATCAAATGCTTCAAAAAGGTTAAATATAGGAATTACAATACAGCGACACTTTCCAGCAGAACTAATTTATTTTTGGAAGCAAACCACATAATCATTTGCCTATTGGTTAACAACTAGAATTCTAAAATCCATCTAGGAGAGACCAGTTTACCAAATGTAATATACCTAAAATAGCATCGACCCTGCCCAAGACAAGAAATGTGCCCCAAATCCCTTTGCGTCATTTCCTTTAGAAGCACTAATCATAACATATACAAATGCCTAGTATCCATAGCAAATATAATTTACCAACTTCTCTTCAAAGAAACTAAATTTGAAATGGTGACCAACGCAATGACCATATGTAGAAAAATGTTTTAAAGAGTGGATAAACAACAGTTCATTCCACATGAAGCCTAAGAGATCCTCAACTTCCAATTTTAAATGCACACGTATATAGAAAAAAAGGAAAAGGAGAATGCAAGAAAGTACTTGAAAAAGTGATGACCAAAAAATGACGAAAAAATGGGATACCATGACAGAAATGCACTTTGGAAATACCAATCCCCAAAACAAAATATAGCTTCAGAAACCCATGAAGCACATAAAGGTACATGTAACGCGGATGTGACATGACACAGACACAACCAAGACACACTATATATGCGTCTTCTATGCAAAATTGAATAGTTTATTAATATACAACAAAAAACATATATTTACACTATCAGAAAATTATTACTTTATAGTAAGTAAATCATAGAACTAGTACCCTAACATGAATCTTTAGACTAATGGACCATAATAGTTAATCATCATCCCTTCTTGGGGAAAAGGTGTAGCAAGTGTACATAAAGACACCAACCAAAAAAATCATATTGTTTTTTCATGATATAACTAAAACGTGAAAAACCACCAATTTCTGAAATAACATGTTAGTCATCAAGTGTCGGTCATATGTTTATTCTTTCTTCATAGACGCAACCCAAGAAGTAGACAGAGGGAGGGTGGGGGCAATTGCCCCCACTGTAATTTCAAAAGGTTTTGGGGTCAGTTTAAAATTTTGAGGAATTTCCATTTTTTAAAAACTTGCCCCCATTAAAATATTTCTAAAGATTTTAATAAGATTCATTTATAAATGAAAAGCTTAGATTTAAACTTTGCTCATGTGACTCAATCTCACAATTCTATCTTTAGTCACTAGTTCTTTTTCTTTCATATGTAACGACATGCCAATTCACCAACTCAATGCTCATCCAAATTTGATTAGTCCAATATGAATTTTTATATTTTTATCGATTATTCCAGTCCGAAATTGTTCTATCATATTTCATGGACTCAAAATTGGATACACATAAATTTGATCTACATAATAATCCATTTTATATGAAAATATAATTTAGCAGTTATGTGATGAATTTGAATTGAAATTAAAATGCAATTGTTGAAATTTAACTCTTGGTTAGGCGGCAGATCAAATCAAGTTTTCAATTCACAGGCTTCACTCTCTAATGTTTTATGAATTTGGATATGGCACAGGCTTCACTCTCTAGGAAGCTTTCCCATCTTAGAGAAGGAATCAGGGTACAGATGGACTCCCTTTTCCTAGAACTTATACTAGGGGTGTTAGGAGGGAGAAGGAAGAGTAAGGCAGCAGCATCTCAAAGATACTCACCAGAGAGAGAAGTAGGACTTGTGTATTAAATGTAGGTTTTTTATTTTTTTATAATGGATAATGTACACAACCAAAAGAGCATCGAACATATGTCCGAGAAGTGTTGATGTACACATGCACCCAACATAGACACATCATACTTTGAGGAGTGTCTCTTTTATTCAAAATAAATGTTTGAAAGAGCTAATCCTACATCTTTTCAGGTATTTGTCACCAACGCTACAAGGTTCAGCCAAAAGATTGGGAATAAAAGCTTAGTAGTTATATAAATGCAAATTTGTCAAGTACATCTCTCTGAACATTTTAAAATGTCAAAGCTGTCCCCATTACAAGTTGAAAAGAAGTCAATTTCTTGATTTTTGAATGTCAAGAATTCTACTACTCTCTCTTCCCTATAAGAAAACATTTCAGTATTTTATGACAAAAATGAAACCACTATTAAATATCATTATTGTTAACCGAAGCTACAAGTGTGGAAATAAATGGGTGTGGGTATGTTCATGCTTTCTTGTCCCAAGTACATCATTAATGGAAATGAAGTATTTTATGGCCATATCAGACTTTCTAAACAATAAGGAAAAACCTTGATGGGTTTGTGATATCACCATCTTTAAATGTCGTCATTTTCTTAAAGTCCAACAATTTATACAAAAAATCATACAAAGAGACATTATAGGGTTTCTTAACCGATTTCTTCGCTTCTTTTCTCTCTAGTGCAATGAATAATTTATTGAGGAGGATGATATGCCAACATTGGATAGAATCATGACCAAACAGTTTACGCAATTCTTTCGTTTTCTTGATGGCAACATCATTTAGTACGGGAAAAGAAGGAAAATGGTTTCCTTTGAAAAAGAACATGCAAAATACAAAGCACTAAATAACAAAAAGTAATAATTACAAAAACAAGATTTTTCCAAGACAACCCTAATAGAAAGGCCCCTCCATAGCCAAAAAATTCCACTTCCTCATTTTCTGAATAACTAGCTTTTCATCAAAATAAAGCCAACAAGCAAGATCACAAGAAGTAGAAAGAAAAATGACCACCGTAATTTTGAATTGTGAGCAAATTTGGGTAGAGAAATTGGTAAAAGATATTTGAACAAGAAGTTTATGAAAGATATTCAACCATAGTGGGGTTAAAAATCATCAAAACGTGAGCTCTCAAGGATAGTTCACACATCAAAACCAAATATCAAAGACTCCTATAGTCACCAAGAAGTCAACAACCTAAGATACCATGACTTCACTAAGAAAGCAACTTCAAAGATAATAATCTCATCCATTAAATATTAATAGTAAAATTTTAAAACAGCAAAAGATAAAAGCAGATCACTCCTCCATATTATCCCAGGCATTGCGAGACATTGGTAGTTTGATTTAGTCGCATAGCCATCATTCATTGAGGTCTTATGATCGAGTCTCACTTTCCACCTTTGATACTACCCCTATGTGTCCGAGCATAGCGGTGCGCCAAGGTTCATGTTCGATGTATACATATATCTATGCACTTGGTTGTATGTCTCCACAAGTGAGCTAGGTTTAGATGTCAAGAGAAATGTTGCGAACCTAATAAACGTGGTGTGTCCATTCTTTGACAGTTTAAACTTCTGGAGTAATTGAGAGTAGACAACCGTACTTTTCCCATTGACAATAATTGTCCATCTAAGAAAAGAATAAAAAACAATATCAATTTTTAATTGTGTATATTCGGCACGGGTGGTTTTCATTCATAGACCAGGCCAAATATTCATCATTAAGCAAGGATGTAACTTTCCTGTGGCTCCAATTGCTGGAACCTTATTCTCTAACGCAATGGCTTGTGTGTCCAGAAAATCGAATTCTTCGTGTTCTAAGTTACATTGCTCAGCACGTTTCTTGCTACGAAGGAGTTCCTAGTTCCTATGGAGTGTATTGTCGAAAGAACAAGTCCTTTGTGTTCAGTTGTAATCACGGCAGATGAGAGGTCAAAAGGAATTACAACTCTGTTAAAAATTGCTGGAGATGAAGAGCATGTTGGGGATCCGTGATCAGAAGTGAACCTCCAAATGATGATTGCGCCAAGAAAAGAAAGCAAGAAATGACACCAACGTTAGGATAATCATTATATTCCAGAAAGCCTTTTACGCCAGAAAAGCCTGAGACATCACACTCACAATTTGAAAGAGAAGCCCATGCAATCTGAATTAAGAAACAAGGGTCACAAGTAACCAAATTGAAGACTGCAGCTGTCAGTATTGTTTTAGGCATATGAATCCATTGAAAAAAGTTTACAGCGATGTCTAGGATGAGCTACAAGTGTGGCTACAAAGATGGAATTGTGGACTAAAGTTTTGAACCAGCCAAATTCATCGATGATTTGATTCGACAATGAATCTTACGAATTCTCCAACATTCAAGAATGGTGGCTGATCAATCAGCTTTCTCAACATGCAGCTAGGTGAGATGAGGCCGGAAACGACAATTGGAGTCGAGGATTATCAGGGGTGATGCAAGCATTAAAGATATGTTTGCTAAATGTTAACATCTTATACACGAAAGCGGATCACGTGCACATATTAATTGCTCGCTCCAAGTCCATAGAGTATGGAAACACAAGTACAGTACCAACTGAAGTGCAACTCTTAAGTGCCTTCCTATAGTTCCAAATCCACCTATGTGGTGGATTAATACGGAAGGGTACCCATGATGTGTCTTAATACAGGTCATCAAAAAATCATCACGGGGCTGTGAACATGGTCTTCAATTCATAAGTAGAAGCAACAAAATCCAAAAGACACAACCCACAAAAAATTCAATTTCAGTGCTTATAATAATGAACATTTGTTCAAACACTTGTTAACAGAGTTCCGGACTACAACATGAGTTTGATAGGCATAGAGTGGTGCACTATACCTCTTCTTATCAACTCTAATAGCTGTTTCAACTTTGGATAGGAACTGTAAGAAGATATTATCATACCTGAATCCAGTATGCTCAACTCCTAGGTGAATGTCCTGCATCAGATCCATATCCAGAGGAACTGTCACTATCAGAATCTGTTCATTCAGACAAAGCAATGAGAGAAAGGAAAAACCTGCTACAGCAAACATGCACTGAATATATTACTACTAAGTACTAACAGAGAGAAACCACATAATAAGTAAAACAACAGTACCACTTGAAGAAGATCCAGAGTCACTGGTAGAGCTAGAGCTACTTGATTTACTTGCATTATTCCCCTGCAGTTCCACTTGAGCAAAAGATAACGAGGAAATGTTCTTTCCATCTGCTTACAAGGAAAACAAAACAAAACTGATTATTGCACAACACATGGGGTAGTCATTAAACAAAAAGGCCACTAATTTTCATGTCCCAAAAACTTTGACCTGTTTCAGCTTCTTTTCGAGTCTCCACAACAACTGGGGCTAGGTTCTGGAGAAATAGCAAGAAAAAATGAATTAACCAAGTACCTCAATTAAAATGACTAGAGGCTAGAAAGATATAACTCTGTGATCACCTCTTCCCAGACATTTGGCCCAGCTTCTGCTCTTCCTTGATTAGCAAGTTCAGCTTTTCTTCTGTTCTTGCTCAAACTCTTCTTGTAGTTAGTCACAAATCTATCAAGTTCCCAAAGAGTTTCTGTATCAACACTATCAATGTCCACTTCAATCTCATCATCGTGTTGGCAGAGCGCAGTGTTTCTTTTCTTAATGATCTGGACAATATTATCCAGCTTTTCAGAAGGTAAATTCTGCAAGTTTGAGCTAAGTTTCTGCTTTTCCTCATAAGTCATTTCCCTTTTGTTAGGATCCTTAGCCTTTGGCTTCTTTGGGGTAGGGGTCCTACCTGAATGAGCAGAATTCATGGATCTTGGCTTTGGATCAACAAGCTGAGTCATTGATTCTGATCTATGTAATGTCCTTCTCATTTCAGAAAGGGGCAGTGACAGCGGTGGTGGCTTCCTTGACGTAGGGGTTGGTAAACCAACTTCATAATCTACCGCAAGCCTCAATTCCCGCATATAATCAGCCTCTATTACAGCCCACTTCTCCTCAAATATATTCGACAGCTGTTCTGCCATTACATGAGCATCTTGCCCTTTCGGATTATAGGTCATAGCATTGCGAAATGTAAGCTTTATGTCCTCTGCAAATTCTCTGGGAGACTTGTACCAATTCTTATTCAGCCTAGATTTCACGGTACCCAAATCCATTGGATGCTTAACAATGTCGAAATAGTCATGCAAACCAAGAGCCTTTGGATCAACAGGTGTATTAAACACCCAACCATGTTTGTGCTTCATCAATCTCTCAAGCAAATTGCTACAATTCTTGAACACTTGATTCGAGAACTTCCCCAACCCAAACCCATGTACAGATTCTCCGCCACCCTTCTTCCCATTTGATTTTGATTTCTTGTTGCTATCTGCTGGTGGAAACTTATCCTTTGCCAAAAGAAACTCTGAATTCCTGTAAAACTGGTTTGCCTTTGGGGTCCTCTTCTCTTTCTCCACAGTATCACTTGCACCCTGACTATTCTCTAACACTGATATACTCAACTGATGCAAAGGCCTACTTTCACGAGGTAGACCCACTCCCATGGATGCCACCTCTGAATTTACACGTTTCGGCCCACCACCATTTGTTTCCACATCCTTTGCCTCAATCTTGCTCACCAAACTTCTAACCAAGTCTCGCTCTCTCTCCAGCTTCCTTCTTAGCTCCCTCATTTCCTGCTTTGACTTTTGAGACAAATCAACTGTTACCCGATTCTCCTGCCTTGAAAAGCCAAGCTTTAACTCCCCATTTCCACCCAACACATCACGTGGGCCAGCAGCCAAACCCTGCGAATGATTCCGTGTTGAAGAATCGTCCGAGGCTGCCTCGCAACTACCAAAGACTTTCTGTTGCTGAGGCAAATTGCCGTCTTCAGAAGCTAGTGTTTGTGTTTGTGATGGTTGTGTTACATTGTGATTTTTCAGACCCTTGAATGATTTGCGTGTATAGACTTTGCTCTCTGCCCACCTCTGTTTCTCTCCAGAACCGTCATTTCCTCCTGTTCCACCTCCCACTGTTGTCCCCGAAGCCATTCATGTACCTCCCAAGCCCTAAGTCAATCTGTCTCAATATATATATTTTTTTATATTTTTATCTGTCTCAATATATACAACTCTGTTTCTTAAACTTAAAGCTTCTAAGGAACCCAAAACCCTAAGTTCTCGGACTCGAACCAGCATGCGAAACCTAACTCTTGTTGTGAAGGATATCACACACACACACACACACACACACACACACACACACACACACTTATTCACGCTGCTGTTGTTCGAAATTATCGATTGAACCCTAATTTTGGAGAATTAACTTGCATAAAGCTAAACTTTGCAAACACGCATGTATTCATAAACTAAGATTATTTTGATGTTAGGTTTCATACCTTTTTTGTCGATTGGATCTTCTACCTCTTCGAATTTCTCTCTCCTCGATTTCTCTCTTTCGCCCTTTCTTCACCTCCTTATCTTGGAAAGGAGCCGAGGTCGGCAAGAATCAAAGCACCGATGACGAGAGTGGTGTTAGATTCACGCGTTTGAGTGCATCGTGTAAGGCACGGCTGGATCGGAGGGCTAGGATCTTGCCATTTTGATAAAGAGTTGAGAATGGACGGTCAGGATTCGGATAGGGTGCGAGTTTAAAAGTCAGTTTTGGTAGTTGAGGTTTTTACCCACGCGAAAAAGGTGGCGCGTGTAGGATCAGCCAAAAGTTGACCACTGTACAGGTGGTTCGGCATTGCATTGCCTGCCTGTAATTGTCCATTTTTTTCACCAGTCGATTTTACTATCCTTGAAAACCAGTCGATTTTACTTAAGAGGATATTAGTCATATTTGTTTTTATTTTTATTTTTATTTGGATTAAATTTGGCTTTGTTATACTGGCAACCTTTTCATTTCAAAAATTGCAAAGAGATCCCAATCATTAGACATTTTAATCAAAAAATTATTTTACCCTCCATTTGACTGGTCAATGACTTAAAATACACACAATCCACACTCAGATCCAAACCTAAATTCATACCTGCATCAATGCAAAACTTAAACTATTAGCTGCATGAATTCAACAATATAAAATCAGCAACATTATTTTATCAATCAAAATGAGAAAAACACTTGAATTTAGCAGTTGGCCCACATATCTGACCCTTTCCCAAACCCTTTCACACTACATCCATCTGAGAACCCTACTGCTCTCCTAGTATCTCGACCTTTTAATAGAGATAATTATAATACCTGGTATTGATCGATGTTTATGCTAAAAAAAAAAACTGGGTTTTGCTGATGGGACGATTCCAAAGCCAAATTCCTCTTTTTGTGAATAGTGGATTCGATTGATGACATGGTTATTTCATGGATTATACACTCAATGGTGCCAAACTTGGCAACTAGCATTATCTACACAAATTCAGATTAAGCAATGTGGAATGACCTGCAAGAGCTTACACTCAGCCCAATTCTTGTGGAGCCGCTAAAGCTGTGATCGATTTATTTCATCAAGACCGTGCAATAAAGTTCTTGTAAGGACTCCATGGGCACTGTGCCTCATTTTGCAGCCAGATTTTGCTGAGAGAACCGCTTCCACCTGTCAATAAGATTTACTCGTTGCTAATAGAAGAAGAAAAGCAACGCGATCTTTCTATTTCATTGCCCAATCTACATGAAGGATCCGCTCTTGCAGTGGCATCAAACAACAATATTCAGAACTCCAGACATGAAAATGGGCTCTGATGCCGCTGCTTTCCATCACAATAGATTCAGTTTTGGTCATGCACCAAGTCGAGGTGGATCAAAACATCACCCGTGAGTTCGCTGTAATTATTGTGGCCGAGAAGGGCATATGAAATGCGAAAGTTGCATGGAATACATAGGGTACATCTAGTGCTTCTAAGTCTAAAGCCCGTGGCCTTTCTGCTTCATGTTAGCAATTATCCAATTCCTTATCCATCCTCAACACCCATGTCCACTGGATGTCAGTCTTCGGCACCAATTGTACCACCAATATCACAAGAACAATACAGTCAGATTTTGGCCATTTTACAGCAAGGTAGAACTGAGCTCTCGACTAATTTTGTAAGTATTGCTTTGAACTCTTTTTATAGTGTCTCTTGGATCATTGATAGCGGTGCCACGAACCACATGTGCTCCACACCTCAGTTGTTTCAATCTATGTCACTAAGCACCACTATTTCTAATGTTCAAATGCCATGTGGTTCAACTGCATCTATAACCCAAATTGGTGTCACTTCCATTAATTATTCACTTCATATGAACAAGGCTTTTCTTATTCCATCATTTAAATTCAATTTGATGTTTGGTTTTCAAATCACAAAATCTCTTAATTGCGCTGTGATGTTTCTTCCTAATAGTTGCTTCTTTCAGAACCTCACCACGAGGAGAAAATTTGAATTGGGTAGCTACTGGAATGGTCTTTACTGTATACATCCTCCAACTGGTCTTTATCCCTACATGAACCCATCATTTGACATTGGTGCTTGCGACACCTTTTCCTAGCTAGCCACATTCTATTTCTGCTTTAGATTCATTTTTGTCTTTTTTGAATAAAATTTCTTGTGATGTATGTCCCCTTGGAAAGCATGCAAGATATGCAAAGGCTACTTTTCCTTGTGAATTAATTTACTGTGATATTTAGGGAAGTTTTACTGTTCCTAACAATTTTGGTGCACATTATTTTTTGATAATTGTCGATGATTATAGTCATTGCACTTGGGTGTTTTTGATGAAACAAAAATGAGAAACTCAATCCCTTTTGAAATCTTTTTTTTGCTGATGATGATATCTAGAAAAATTCTAAGTTTGAGCTTGGGCATCGAGGTCAGGAAAGGAGCTTAGCCACGAAAGCTCGAACTCAGAGGTTCAGACCCCAAGCTCCCTTGACCTGCGCCTCAACGAACAAGAGTAGAAAACAGCTAGCAACCATTAGACGCCCCCTCAACGGCTATAAACACCAATCTAGGCGCAAGAACCTGAACCGCCTAAACCATCGCCTGAAATTAAGTAGAACATTACAAGAGGGAGGCGAAGATCTCGCCCCATACCCCATGGAACTAGGAACTAAGCTATAAATACTGTACAAAGTCCTCACTATGAGGCGGGCAACAAGAATACTGTCATGAAGATTGGGTAATCCTTTCTTAATCTTCAATATAATTCGCAGGAGCAAGAGACTCTATTACAGAGTGAATTAACCGAGCCCCCGAGCTGGTGAACCATTATAACTCCTCTATGCAATCCACCCCTTCCCCAAAAGGTTAACACATCATTTCCAAGAGCCTTGTAGCTCAGATCAAACCCATTAGTATACACAGTCTGCTCAACTACGTTTTAACACACCATCAGTTTGGTGCTGTCTGTACGAACAACTTTTCCTGTTACAAAAATACTATTTTTTTTCCAGTAATTGATGGTCTCTATGTGTAACATGAGCAGAAGTCAGTTGAATCATCAGCGGATACAGAACCAACAGGAAGCCACCAGGGGAAGAGAACAAGAAAATCTTTAAGACTGTCTGCCCACCACTAAGACTAATCCTCCCATGGCGGACCCCCTCCGAATAACAATTGGAGACTCTTCACCTAGTCAACTAGCATCTATTACAACAGAACGAAGAACTCATGAAGCTCCTACAACATCCTCAGAAGACACGACCAGCCTAGGATGATCCCCTATAAGGGGAGCATCATTGTCTCGATCCCCTAAGGAGGTTAATGAAGGAGGCTAGCATAGCCAAGCCATGGACCATGTTCCACATCTATCCCTCAGGAATGAAGACAATGAAGAAGTACAAAGTTAGAATGAGAGAACTGAGAAAAATGAATTTCTCCCTTTCCAATAGGAAAGAAGAGAGCAATATTGGGAACAACATTTTAAAGATATCCGGCAAAAGCTTAGCCACATGAAGGAGGCTGTGAAGGGTAAGAACTCAGTAACTATGGATGACCTAGTACAGCAGACTAAGTCCCCTTTCACAGCTGATGTACTGCATTTCCTCTCCCTTCGAAGTTTAGAATGCCCCAGATTAGGGCCTTTGATGGGACGAAAGACCTCATGGATCACCTCAACACCTACAAGAATCAAATGGAGTTGCACAGATATCAAGACCCTATACGATGCTGAGCTTTTGCCATCACGTTAAAGGGCTCAGCCTTAGCGTGGCTTAACAGACTAGCCCCGACGTCTATCTCCTCCTTTAGAGATCTCTCCATATCCTTTGTGTCACACTTCATAGGAGATCGGACCTAACAAAAATTCAACTCAGAATCACTGAAGGTGGACATTCCAGATGAGAAATTTGCCATCACTTCTTTCATCGTTGGGTTAGAAGTACAGTCAAAGGACTTGATGTGCTCCATATCCAAAAACCCACAAACCAGTATGGCAGAGGTGCTTACCGAGTAAAGACAAACCCAGCAAAAAAATGATGAAAGAAGTGATGGCAAACCCAGCAAAAAGACAAACCCAGCAAAAAATGATGTGACAAAGTATTGCGAGTACCACAGGGACCATGGCCACCTCGTTAATGATTGCTCAAATTGAAAAAGAAAATAAAGTTTTGGTTCAACGAGGGTAACTGCATCGCTTTGTGGTGCATGTCAATCAGAACAGGGCTCACCCTTCTCCAACACCTCAGTAGCAAACTCCTGCACAACACCAGCAGCCAATAGGGGAGATCAGGATGATTTTTGGGGGATTCGCTGGTGGAGGTGAAACCAGCTTAACCAGAAAAGCCCACATACACAAGGTAAGGACCGAGAAAATGTTGGAGGTGTAGATTGTGAACAAGGCACCCTAGATGAACATGGACATCACTTTCTCAAATGCAGACTTGGAGGGGTACCAGCATCCCCATGATGATCCTTTGGTGGAAAAAACAATCATTGCTAACAGGACTGTTCATCAGGTCTTAATCGACAACAGGAGCTTGTCGACATTATCTTTGCATCCGCCTTCGACAAAATAGACATAGGCAGGGACAAGCTCGAACTGGTGAGAACTTATCTTCTGGGATTCTCAAGGGAGTATCCCTAGGGTCAATTTAGCTCATCCTCACCCTGGGGAGCCCTTTTTGCCAATCCACCACTGCGGTAAGGTTCCTGATAGTCGATGCCCCCTCAGTATACAATGTTTTGTTGAGGAGATCTTTCCTTAATGCCATGAGAGCCATCCCTTATGCCTATCACATGGTTATAAAATTTTCCACTAAAAATGGCATTGGAATGGTTCGAGGATATGAACGAGTGGTAAGGGAATGCTACATGGCATCAATGAAAAGGAAAGATGTTGAAAACATCTAGCAGGATGAGCTAGACATAAGAGATAAGCTGGATTTAAGACCTATGCCCTCTGAAGAGCTGGAACCCATCTAGCTCTACGAGGAGCCAGAGCATACAATATATGTGGGGTCGAAGCTACCTACAAAACTCAGAGACCTTCTAGTTCATTTCCTTAGAAGGCATATGGAAGTATTTGCTGGGAAGCAAGAAGATATGCAGGGAATTGATCCCTCAGTCATCACACGCAAGCTTAGCATGAACCTAACCTACAAGCCCATCAAATAAAAACGAAGGAGTTTTGCCCCAGAGCGCCAAAAGACAATTAATGAGGAAGTCAGCAAGCTTCTCCACATTAAAGCTATCAGGGAAGTAAACTACCCAACTTGATTAGCTAATGTGGTTCTCATTAAAAAAACAATGGTAAATGGCACCTTTGCATCGACTTTATTGATCTTAATCAA